AGTCTCATTGTCACACAACTTTCAAACGTACGCCTAATTACATTTGTCAGAGAAAGGAAAGCAATTTGCACGTCATACCACGTTTCAAGCTGTCAGCTGCCCTGACAGTTTTCTCATTATTTTCGTTCAGTCTCTTCAGATAGTCTACTACCTTGAAGTAGATGCTTATGTTCTTGGTTTTGACTCCGTGTAGACTATCCGATAGATTACAAATTTTCGGAGAAACATACTGTCTCCATCTACAGGTTTTTTTTGTAGCGGTGAAGTTAAGTATGATGTTCTGTGGTTTGGCGCCGGAGAGACTTGATAGATTTCTGAACCTGGAGACGGCATATTTCTGCGAAATTTTGTCATCAGCTGGTGAGTCTTTACGGCGCAAAACCTCAGGGCAACATAATCATCCTTATCGCTGTGAAAATTTGTAATCTACTTTGAAGTATATCACAGACACTTCGTTCTAAATCTTTATCTACCTAATTTAATCTCCATTTATCATCCAACGTTATATAAACTCGGTAGATTGAATATGGTTTCCTAAGAACTAATTACAGTTTTCAGGAGGAGAAGTTAATGCACACATCCTGCTGTCAAAATACGTTTCTGTGTTAATTCGACTTTCATCACTTTGCGTGGACCCGTTAACGAGGTGCTGTTTTGATACAAATTACAGCATCTACTCGCCTGAACTAGTTTTAACGACCTTTACAAGACGAAGTACATGTACGTGGCGTGTTAAATAAGTAATTTTGAAATATAAATTAAACAGATGCTGTGCCCCTATTCTACAGGGGCTTGCGTTTCTAGCGAACAGCAGTAAATTTTCAGGTCTGCTCCGTTCAGATCAGATGATTTCCAGAGAGTTGGCATTGTTTAAACAGACCACTCACAGAACTTTAAAAAATAATCTCTATCATATTAATCTATAGATTAATGAATTGAAGGAAACACGTGTTCTTTGATTTCGGAACATGGTGCATAATGTGGTATTATCGCTATATATGGCTACTCATTTCGATTAAATTCAATATAAAAAAGTGCCTAGTAGTTTATAGTTATTCAGATCAAAGTTTTTTTCAAATTTGTGTGTTGCCAAAGGACCGTTTAAAATCCAGTGGTAACTATATGCACCACCTGCCTTAACAATAATTTCTATGTATTTTATCCACAAAGTATGTTTATAGGTTTATTATAATTATCAGAATAAACAGTGATTATTTTTTTAAACAGCATTGACCAATTGATATTTGTAATGGTAAAGTGTGGTGTCTTCTTTGCGGTACGGACTGGATTATTAACTATTACTTAGGCGTGTTTCGACTTAAAAGGGTTACTATTGTGAAAGAACCTCATCTTTTAGCACGATTTCATAGTTGAGACTAGACAGTTCAATTAAAATGCGATTCGAGAGGATTACGAAATAGGAATCGTTGGCATTATTGATAGCTTTCAGTAGAATCCACGTGTATATAAATAAGAGTACATTAAATTCATACTCTAAAACAAACACAGATGTTAACTCTACAGGTTTTGACATTGACTGGTTACGTAACGTGACATTTTTTGTGTTCCGCGTGATTTGTTAGGCTGTTTTTTTTTTTTTAGCTGAAGATTACTTTTACTCAACGCCTTGACTTGAATTGCCACTTACAGCACCAGAATGTTGGTGTCTGCTTAGTGTCAACTACAATTTTAGAAAGGAAAAGTATAAAATGTCGATTCCATTGGCCTGTGCTGCGTGTTCATGGAAGATACGAACGACCGACCGACAGCTGAAGTTGCTGTTTCATATTCCTCCCACAGTATGGGTGTTTGTGTGCTAGTTTCGTAATTACCCTGGTCTTTAGTATACGCGTAAGTTGTTTCCATTATTGATTATTCGACAGGATTTTACGCACTCCTTCCATATGAATATTGATAAAAGCTGGGCGAGATCTTTCTCCATAGGTTTCTTTCTTACACAATAAATTTATTTAATTCTCCAACAAACTGAGAAAAGAAAGTAATTAAACATTCATGTTGTAATTTGAAGTACTAAATTTTTGGACTTTATCCATCGTCTGATATTCAAAGGTTTAGAGATGTTGATCCTTGCAGCTTTTAGGCGTTTACGGACGTTTTAGAGGTGGAAACTACACGGCGTAACATGCCAGTAGACAGTCATTTTAACATTCTCCTCCGTGAGAACCTGAAATATTATCCACATCATTTTTCCTAATGCCAGTTCTTTCCTGTCCTTTAGTCCCTCACATTCCATTGGCTGTGTCACAATTCTTCGTCCTCTCCACATATCAAACACATTCCTATTTTACTAGGCCCATATAAGTACGAATGTAGGCTCAGACTAACGTATCTATACCTTATAAGCGTACATTTGCCTAAGCCCCATTGCGTCTGACATCTTGATATATTGCATGCTTATTACATTACAGAAGTAGGAGTAATAACATTGCTGTAGGCTAGAAAAGACCTGGATTATTTCCACTTACAGTGATGTCGGTCTTAAGACGAACAGCTATAATGTAAATACGTTTGAATTTCTTGTTAGCGTCCAGTCCTTAGTGTGCGTTATTCATCTGTTGAAAACTTAACCCTTTGGGTGCTGTTGACCCAATCAGACTTCCTTTTCCTTCATTACAACTTTGTTTCAGAAGTTCAGTTAGTCTCATGAAAAGAGAATTCGCTTGATTGTCCATAATCCCACGTCCTGGATTACAGAACAGATTACATCAAGTTCTGACTGAGTAAAAGGACAATGTTTCTCAATATTTTTCCTCCGGCTTCGCCATAAAATATAATTAAATTTATCACTGCACATAAAATAATATGTTGTAAAGTTTCGTATGGTATCTCGTCTTCTAGGCTATGACGTCTTGTATTTTTGTAGGTAGTTACCAACATCTGGGATTAACTTATCACTTCCTTCATAAGGGTATAAGACGAAGATTATAAGTTTTTCTGAAACGTTTGTACACATCGCGTTATAAATGTGAAAATCACAATTCAAATCTACACAGTTATAAAAATTTGATCACGAAGTTGTGTATGAATTTATACATAAATTGTAAGCCTATTCATATTTAGATTGTAGTCTGTTCTTGAACCAGTTCTGTTCACTTCAGATTCTCATAAACCATCTTTATGTGAACCAAACACGTGTATTCTTCCATCTCTTCTTCGGTCAAAAGTGTCACAAACCCTAAGTTCACTGCCGTGTTCCGATCCTCAGCCAGATGAAGTGAGTGCACACTTTCAAATTCTTATAAAATAAGTGTAAAAATATCTGTTTTATTTAACCTGATCTGCTTTTTGTAAAGTAGGCAGGGCGATAACAGTTTTAGAACTGAATTAAAACAAATATTTCCTGAATTATTTTCCCTTTTTTTCGTTAGGAACGTCACAGTTTGTAGGAAAGTTTAGGAAACTGGGAAAATGTTACAGCCAGAAATGGATTAAGTTTGGTAGAGATATTGCACGCTGATATTAAAATGGGTGTTATGAAAAAGCACAATATATAACATATATATAGTGAGATGTGAAAAATACCGATGTGGTAACAATTTAACAAAGAGAAAACAGCACGTATTAATTAGATGACAAAATAAGACTTTGTTAGTACACGTTCTGAAAAATTGTTACTTGTGTAGAAAAGCACGGGACGCCAATTGAGAAACACTTTATTAGAGAAATCAAATACGTACTATTACGTGTTGATATCGAGGCTTTGTTTGTCGGCTGAATGGGATCAGCTTATTTGTATGCATATTTCAGATACATTTTATGGAGCGGAATTGCTTTAATTATGAGTGAGTGAAATCGATGAGGAGACAAAGAAAGTTAAGAGAAATGCAAAATTTCATGTCATTTTCTCATACACATGTGTGGGACTCAAAACGTCTTGCTTTGTTTATTCGGCTAATTTAAGACTTATTATCAAACCGTGTCATTTATTATAAATTCTTATTGTTATTTTGATTTTAGTAAACATTTCTCTTTTTGGCTGTTGATGAAACATACTAAAATAAAGAATTCAATTGAATTGTTATTTTGAATCCTCCGTATGAGATTTTGTTTGTGCACATGGTCAGTGACATGTTTTCTGAGAGAGCAATTAACAATCTACATGTTGATAACTGTTTCTCACTCTTTTATCCGAATCACTTGTTGTTTCTCGTTTGTTTTTCTGAGATTCCACGTTCCTTCCAAATCTCTTCTTACTCCTTTATATTTGTTATATTATTATTATTATTATTATTGATTGTTGATGTAGCGTGATTAGAGGCGATCCTTACAATAATATGAGGTCAGTAGCTCAAGTCACCTTCGTCGAGAGCTCCTTCTTATTCTGCGCATGCGCAATAAGAACTGGGTGAACAAGGTGTTTGGATAACAGCGCGGTCCTGTTCCCTGCCATCTCCATATGACTTCACAGCGATCTCCGAGTTCTTCAATTTGTGGTTCGCGAACCCCTTGGGAATAAGCTAAATATACTGTCGAAAATGGTGCATAGTGGTGAAATTTTGTTTGCTAGTATTATTTTAATTTTTTTTTTTACAAAACATGATAATCTGGAGGAAGGATAAGGGGTTAAGTTATGTTCGATTGAGTTTAATTTAAATTTTGGTTTTTAATTTTATTTATTTGATGAGTTGACAGTAGCACACATCAACAGTGCAGATGAATCAGCTATAAAATAACAAATACGCCTTTTTACCTGCTCGGATACAAGATTGCTTCTGAAAAGTTCCTATGTACGAGGTCAGCATATCGTCTAACCCATACGCAAGACAGATATCCTAAAAAATCACTTAAATCTGTTGAATCTACGCGTGGTTTCGATGTAAAATCTTCTAGGCGCCATAGACTGTTACGCGTACCTCGGAAACACTTTGGAATCCGAATCATTTGTTGAGCTTAGATCCGGTTAACCCCTCTTAATGCTTGTGTTATGAGAGGGAGGTGGTCTTTAACGATGGCGATGGAGAACGAAGAATAAGGCGAGGCAGAGCAGGTCGTTAGAAGAAAGTTGTCTCCCCATATGAGTAACTGCTGACCTGCATGGCGGCTGTTCCATCTGCAGCCTCTAGTTAGCTCCCTCCAGTAGTTGGCCCGAGACGGCCTAAAGAAGAACACCTCAGGTGTGTCGGAAGTGTTGTGTTGTGGTTACTCAAATGAGGCATTTCTTCCTCAGTGAACGCTTTTAAACTTTTAACAAGTGAACTATGGGATACCACGTGACGGTATGTACACAGCTTTTTTTACGTTTTTATAATTTAAATAAAATTTATCTGACACGAATCTCTTTAAACACAGACATCGTGAATTAAATATACTTTGGTGTTTTTTTTCATTAAACCAACTTATACGTCTGGTAGCCCGAGAAGAATTTGTTGTAAATTTAATTGCTTAAACTAGACACACGAATTTAACGTAAGATTTGAGGTTTTTCACAGCGGTGAGTATGAAGATTTCTGTCTTCTGGGATGTTGCGCTGTGTAGTCTGGTCGATGTTAACCAACGTTTCAGAGGTCATACTGCCTCCGTCATCAGAGTATGAAGATTTCTGTCTTCTGGGTTGTTGCGCTGTGTAGTCTGGTCGATGTT